TCAAAAAGTACGTAGTGACATTTTTAGTGGCAATCATTGGTCGATTTTCTAGCGTTGCCATTCGGGGAGTTGTAATGAGGCTTTTTTTTTGTCACAGTGTAAGAGAAATATATATATAGATATATAAAAATTTTATAGCATAAACACAAAGATCTAGACAGCCAATTTTGATTATTAAAATGTGAAATTTCACATTAAAGAAATTACACAACAATATTGAACAATGAAAACTTTTTCTTTTCTGTAAAGCTTCATTTTTAAAAACCCAGAACTGACCAGAGCAGTTTCTTCTTTTTCCTTTTACAATATTATTTAAAGTTTTCATTCAAATATATAAAGTTCATTCAAATTTTGAATGTGTCTTGAGATATCGATACAATTTAATGTTTATATTTCAGTACCTAAATCAATTCGTATCAGTAAATTCATCGTAAATTTGCGATATTTAAATATTACTTAATGAAATATCCAATTATAATGCCTGCCTCATTTATATAGTTGAGTTTAATTTATATACTATGTTTAAAAGTTGGTGATTTTGTTGAGTAATATAATTCCAAAATAGGTGGAATTTCCAGTCAATGTGCTATCTCCACAAGCTACTTATGAAATACAGTTTGGTAACTTGCAAAGGCCTACTCATAGTAACACCTCTTGGGATTGGGCAAAATATGAGGTAAGTAGATTCTTTTTATCTCTCTCTTTATAAAACTTATAATTAAGTTCTACATTTTTATTTTTTTATTTTAAAATATTTTGTGAAATAATTTGTTGTATCTTTGATTGAATCTCCTATAATAAGTACTTTTTAAATGTGAATACTTTCTCATTCTTCCAGCTAATTTTTATATTTGTAGTTAAAATATTACTCACCAGATGACACCAAAATGCCATTGTTAATAAATAAATTCTTATATGTGAATATTTGGCTGGATCAGTGATCAGTTTATAAAAATTGTCAATTGATCTGACATTTAATAATCTTTCAAACAAATGCTGTTTAAGAGAAGCAAACATTTTTTAAAGACTTAATTTGTCGAAGTTTAAAAAGAAAAGTTAAGGCTATACATATATTTAATGATAATTCTATCATTACAAACATAATGATGCTGACTTTAAATGTGTATAACTCTTCTTTTTCTTAAAGTCAATTTGTTTAAACTTTAATTATTTAAATATTATTTAATTAAATAATTTTTTTATGCTTTATATACTTACTCCAATTTTCATTAACTTAAAAAAGTTTATAAAAGTGAGTAAGTATATAAGACTAAGAATTATGTTAACAGAAAATATTATAACTGCTACCCTTTTTACTTCTAAAGTTACATGTATTTTTAACATTTGAAAATTTTAAGTCCAAAATTATGAAACTGTCCTTTTATGCGAAGAAAATACTATTTAATTAAAAGTATTATTCCTGAATTTCGTGTAATTTTTTTCAGGTATGTTTGACAAGGCTTTTAATTTTTTTCGATGAAGATGCTTTTTATGACTGATCGAGAAAATAATTAAACAGCTATACATATTTTAATTTTTATTTCCAAATTTAACGTATGGGAAAATATATTTAATTAGACTATTTTTTGTATATGCAATTTTTATATACAACTTCTTGAATATGGTAAATACGGTTAACTTATCTCAGAAGATCATACTTCATAGTCTTTTTAAATGTGTTTTGAAGGTTTGCTTGCAATATTTCTTTTCATATAATTAGTCTCAGATATTTAATAATAAATTTAAAAAGATTGTTTTAAAAATAAAAAGAAATGCAATTGCTTGAGGAAAATACTATATAATCAGCCCCGTGGCAGATTCATGGCAACATTGTCACAGAATTTTACAGAGTTCTGGCAGAAAGATTTTTCTTTTCTGAAGTAAAAAATGTCGGTTTGCTTTTTTGCAGAAATTTACACATAAAATTTGAATCACACATTTAAATAATCACTTTTTGAAGCACTCAATTTATGCCGATATTGTGAATCCATTTTTATTGTATTTTCTGCAGTTATTGACATTGATTTTACGTAGTATTTAGATATCCCAATATATTTCAGGCAATATGGGATATTCGAATCGTGCCTTTGATAATTTACTTTATAAGGTAATGCATCCATAGATTTTTTTGGCAGTTATTGCTTTTGATTTCCACATATTTTTTAAAACCCGTTATTCTTTATTTGATATTATTTATTACAACAATTAAATATTGAAACAAAACATGTATTTGAGTAACTCCTTTCTGAGATTCGATTTCGATCTATATTACGGTAATTACTGCAATTTATATAATAATTTTCATGCCATTTTTTTTTAATGCGATGATAATTTTCAAAATGATATAAAGGAAATAATTAGTGCATCCCCCCCAATAAAATGCGAGGATATCACCCGTAACATTAGAATCAAAAAAATATTACGTATTCAGTTAACATATTAAAAAAATTACATTGTTTTTTTTTTGTTTTTGTAAACACAGCATTTTTGTTACCTTAAATTAGTAGCATACATATTTGTTATTATTGAAAGTGTCTTGCAGAAAGATATTAGTGCTAGAGAGTTTTGCCGCAAAAAGCCTGAAAAAATTTTGCACAGGAATAATCAGTAAAAAATAAATAATTTTGAATATAAAAGCTTATAAAAAGTAAAATTTTTTTTTCCAATCTAAATCTTTAAATATAAATGTCTCATTTGTAGATTCATCTGTAAAAGCGTAATTTCAAAATATTTGTTTCAGATTTTTTATTTTGATCCATTCCACCTGATTTTTCAGTACAATTTAATGACAGACATGTAAATAATTTTCTCATAAACCAATTATTTAAAAATGTATACTATTTTGAAAACTTTGCATCTTTTTTTTTTTTTTTTTACAGAAAAGTACTAACTAATAAATAAATGTACAAAAAATTTAAGTATTAAAAAATTCAATTCTATTTCTAGGTGTGTGGTCATAAATGGGTTGATGTATCTGAGTATGATTGGGGAGTTTCTATTTTAAATAAAAGCAAGTATGGCCATTCAGTGAGAGGGAACAGAATGTTTCTGTCTCTTTTACGATCACCAAAATGTCCTGATCCCAAAACAGATATGGGCAAGCATATAATCAGTTATGCTGTCATGCCTCATTCAAGTAAGTTTATTCTTTTACTCATATCTTTTTAATAAGAATTAGATTCTTTAAAAAAAATCAAATGGATGAAAGTTATAGCATGTTTATATAGATTGAAGAGCTAGTTTTTTTATAATCTTGAAAAAATTATTAACAAGGAAAGACGATATTTAAAAAAAAAGCATATGTTTTGTCTTTTTTTAATATTTGATTATTTATGTCATCTACCTGAATAATTCTGATCTTTGTATTTGTCCCCAGTATTTTATAATGCACCAAGCTAATTGGAAAAGGTTTCATTAAAGTCTGTTGTGCTTTCTTAAGGTTTATTACATTAAGCCTATATTAATTGAACTTGGTTAAAATTAGACAGAGAACATTAGAATTTTTTTAAAGTTTATTGTAACAAACCTTAAATGAAGCTTTCCCTACTCAGGCTAATTGTGCTACGAATGGCACATTTTCTAATTGCTGTAAAGTACGTGGGTTCCATGCAATAAGCCTTAAAAGTGTGTAGCCAATTAGAAAATGCATCATATTTTTCTAATTAGTCTTAAAGAAATTCCAAAATTACAGCTGTTTACAAAAGCATGTGGCTTTATTAAATCTGATGACAGAATAAATTCATTTTGCGACCTGATTGATTTATCTCATTTGTTTTATTAGAATTCATTCTTTTTACATTTACAGCTAAAAGTATCTTTTCTCTATTTGGACGCTTAAAAGTATTTTCGAAAATTTGATTACTTTGATTTAAATAAATAGACCATATTTTACAACTTTTTAAGTAAGCTACCAATACAGTGTCCAGTGAAAATGTTTGTTTGATTAGATTATAATTCTGGCAATATCATTAAATTGTCATAATAAAAACTAATTGAAGGTAATAATTAGCCTATTTGTGCATTTTTGAAGTGGTTTAAATTTATATTTGAATTGCTACTAACCTTCTCTGTTTCATAACTGGGAAGTGTATACTTTTTGTAAGAAACTTTGTAAGTGTCCAAATTTAATTTTGTAAGTTTCATAAAGTTAAATTATCTTTCCTGGAAAAAAAGTTCAGAATTATATTTTGTTCTCTTTTTCAAAATTAATTTTATTCCAGTAAAGGCTATAAGTTGTTTATAAAGTTACATGAATCTGCATTTAAATTTTACACCAGTCTTTACCTTGTCAACTTCATACATTATGCAATGCACAGTATTCATTCCTTACTTGTTAATCAAAATACTATAAGTAAAAGTAAAATCAAAGTTATTTTTCAAGTTAGGTTTTGACTTGTATTTGATATATTTTTACTGGATACCAGACAATTGTCTTTTTTCTCCCCCTAGAAACATTTCAACAGTCTGGTGTTATTCAACAAGCTTATCAACTGAACTACCCTCTTCATATTTTCCCTACAAGTCATTTGGCCAAGCCAGGAGCTAGTCATTATGTAACTAATGCTCATCGTGTTCTACCTCTAGAAATGCATGAGTCTTTAAGCTGGTTTCAAGTGAGTCTATCTATGCTTAGTTGAAATTCTTACAATTTTATTATGTTATGGTTTTGTTATGAGCATATGATTTTTTTCTTATTAACTTAAATATTTGAAACATCAAAAGAAGACTATTCTTTAATTTATGGAATCAGGTGGATACTTTTCTGTGAAACCCGATAAAAATTGAACTATTATCCTCTGTATAATTTGGTTTTTGTGATTTTACTTGCTTATGACAACTGATGTAATTTGGGGAAGATGTTCTTTATGGAAACTTTTTTTGATTTAGTAGATTATTATGTAATTATGTTAACACTTTCCCCCCCTCTGTTATACATTTTGAAGTGTGCCTTTACTTAGATTAGTAATAGATCTTACATGTATAATTTTTCATCCATTAATGGGAATATCAATGGATACTTCTACTTCTATGGCAGCACAGATGCACAAAATCTTTGTTCATTCCCGAAAAAATATAAAAATTGTCTCGATTAGATGAATTTGTTTATAATAAGAAAAAGGGGACATAGTAAATCATTCATTAAATCTGAATTATTATTTACATTGGTTGGAATAATGTCAGAGTTTTATTTTTGTCATTGAACCACATTGATTGTTTAATGTGTGCGTATAATGAAATACAATTTTACTAACACTTATAGATTTCAGGAAACTCCTTGTCTTTGAATAAGGTTGGCAACGGTTTATTTGTTTATTCCTCACTACTGTCAGATTCTAAGTTTTACAAATATTTATTCGGGAACATGCGCATAGGTTGACCCATGGTTTGACCAGCAACAGCTTCTGATCGTTATTGCAATTGTGTGATTCAAGACAAAACATATTAAGAACTGATTATTGTTAATCTGTAGTCCAGGTTGTTGAGCGGTCGGTGTGTTTGACTGCATAGCCAATGATTGTTGTAATGGTCAGGGCATGGATATTGTCCTCTGTTATGTGAATGTGGCCCACTTTTTAGACAGATATGGTAATGTGGCTTGTCTCTGTGACTTAGTTTAACAGTTATGTTAAATGAGTTCCAGTATCTTCCGAAGTAAAGAACAAGTTCAGTGACTGCTGTTAAAAAAAATGGTTTATCTTACTATATTTCCGGAATTGAACTTAAAGCTGTGTAGTTAAATCTTTTTGAAGGTAATAAAATTTTCATCAACGATCAAAAGATTTTTCACACAACTGCATAAAATAATTTTAAGAGGTTCGGAAATAAACTAGGGCTCCTGATAAACAAGCTTGTCTATATTTCATTTTAAATGAACCTAATTTAAAATTAGATTTTTTTTATTATAAAATATTGTCTGTTTTAGGTTAGTGATCCAGCGATTATTATCGAAGCTGTCAAAAAGGCTGAGGATCGTGATGACTGCTTAGTAGTTAGAATGTATGAATCCTTTGGAGGGAGAGTTCATGTCAATTTAAAAAGTTGTCTTCCTATCCATAAAGCTGTATTGTGCAATGCTCTTGAAGATGTGACAGAATCAGCACAGCAAAAAGTGAAGTGGAAGGGTAACAATTTAGAACTCACATTTTCTCCCTTCCAAATAATTTCAGTTTTACTGTACATTGAAATCTAGTATGTTTTTAAAATTTTGGAGATTTGTATATTTTATTTTTTTTATATACTCATGTTGATTCAGAAAAGATAGTATTACTTTGTGCCATAAGAGCATTTATTATACCTATACAAGCACCAATTTTTCAATTGTTATATCAAAGTACAGAAAATTTTATATTTGTTTAATTAGATATACATTTTCTTATTTATTTAAAATTCAGTAGTTGATGTGAAATTCTGTAATTTATTTTTCTATATTTTTTGTTATAATTTTAATAAATTTTATCACTACATTTAGTATGCATATTTTTCCTAAAATTGTTATTTTTGAAAATAAATTTTATTTATGTTGAATTTTAATACTTTCACATACAATATAAACACATTTTAATCTATTTTAACTTCATAAAAACCCATTAATGCCTGTGTAACATTGTTTCAATAATATTTTACTACTAATATTTAATGCTGTTAAATTATTGGGTTAACCACTAAAAATATGATGTCAAGAGAATATTTAATTTCTAAAGAAAAAAAGTTTTTTTTTTCAAGACATAAAATTTTAAGCACTTAATTAAACACTGTCTTGCGCAATTATTACGCAATCCACTCTAATCCTTCCTTATAACCAAATAAATTTTTTCGAATTTGATTAAATTGATATGTATTAAGTCAAACGCATTTAATCAAATTTGTTTCCTTAGGTATTTGATAAAAAAGAATATTTCTGTATTAGATATTAGAAAATGCAAGTAATAAAAATAAGAAAATTATAGCAAAATACTCGTACGAAGCAAAATTGTTGACAACTTTAGTATTCATTATATAATTAAAAAAAATTATTTTATGATGTACCTAATGACACTTTTTGACATTTTAAATATTTAGTTTTTTTTAAAAATTTTCTTTTTTAGCGAAAGTCTGATGGTGCTTAAAGTATAGTTTAAATTTGTGTGGTTAATTTTATATTTATGATTCAGGATAGTTAGCATTAAATTAGGGGCACCTTGTAAAAAAAAACTTGTCTGATATTTAAGTTAAAGCACCCAAAAAATTTAGCAATGTTATGCAATTTTTTTTTTTAAATAAAAGACCACATTGATTATTGCTATTAATTGTAAAATTGCAAACAATTGAATTTATAAAAATAATTAAGTTAAAGTTCATGTCAAAAAGCTTTTTCCATGAGCTTAAGATGTAGTTTTAGAATTGTATCTTAGAATAGGTAACAGGCATTAATGGGTTAAATAAATCATTTTAAAATTGTTTTTTAACTTATGGAATTTTTTAACGTATTTGTTAGAGAAATCTTGTAAATATTGTAAGCTAATTTACATTATAAATAATTCTTATATAACTTTAATCACTAAATAATTAAATTTTTTGTTAATTGATAGTTTGTTATAATCTTTTAGAATGTGTTGTGATAAAAATATTTGAACAAAATTTGAGTACAAAAATGAAGAATTTTTTATATGTCTTACCTTGCACTCTTCTCATGCAATTTGAATATCTATCTTATGCAGTTTCAGTACTTTGTGATCTTTATCTTGTCAACTTACAAAATTTATTATTCAAAATATCATGGCTCGTCATGGATTTCTGAAACTTTTATCATGTACATTTAAATTTATTGGTAAATATAATGTTAATGACCATAAAAGGTCCAATGATGAGTATGACTAAAAAAAATTTTTTTTAAGTGACACAAGGGTAAAATTAACTGTAAGCAATTGTCACAGGACATCCGAATATAAAAAGTGGCTTCTAAAAAATTGTCAGCCAGTCACCAACTGATCGCAACTTTGTCTGATCGTAAATATGCACTTCATGCACATTTTATTATCGTTTAACAAATATGGAATTATTATGATTATTTTATAATATTCCGAAACTTTTATTTCACGCTTGTTTTTAAAATTGATCTTCATTTTATGAATGAATCCTGAAATGTTTACCATATTTTGAGAAATGCTTTAAAAAAATTACATTATTAATACCTACTTTACATTATTAATATCAATAGTTTTTTAATAATTAAAAATGAGTAACTGCAACAACTGCCCACTGGACATATACAATATTAAGCAAAATATAGACATTGGCGCATAATGATAATATGAAGATTCGGCCTTTTAAAAATAAGAACTATATTTGTTCTGATTTTTGTAAAATTTTAAAGTTACTCTGTCAGTGCCTAGAAATTGCTTCTTTGTGTGGGGAAGTCTTCTCATGTTGGTGATTATTTTTTTTTTTCAAAAAAAAAGAAAAAAAAAAGATTATTACTATTAAATTTTAATCCCTTTTTTTAAGCAGGGTAGTATATAAGATTGCAAACGGAAATTTAGCTTAAGGTACTAAAAGTGCAACTTTTTATTATTTTCCTTTCTAAAAGACCTTTAAACAACACCTGTTATCTCTGACCAATATAACTCATTTTTTTTTGTAGATCATTATTATTATGTGATCTTTAATATTTTATACTTAATAATGAAAAAAATTGTCCCAGAAATTCTATAAAACACGTTATTATGCATTACCTATTTTGTGGTAATGGCTTACATATTTGGTCATCCAATAAAATATTTCCATAACAGCTTAATCATTACTTTTTATAGTACATTAATAGTTGATTCTGTTATTGCTGTTAATGCTAAAAAGGAATATGCTAAAAATATTCTTACAAGTACTTATATAACATTTATTTATATGAACAACTTTAATAATGCTGCTGTAAAATAATTGTATGCAATTGCTTAAATTGAAAATCACATTGCACTTTTTAAACTATGACTTATATAATGAAATACTCAATTTCATGCACTCAAATGCTACTGTAATGATCCACACTTTCAAAAAACAAATTTCATAACATTGTTTTCGTAACTTTTGTTTTTTAAAATTCTATTTTAATTATTCTTTCTACTGATTCTAATATCTACCCATCATTTTTTAAAAAAATATTTTAACTTGCTCTAAACTTAAGTAGTTGGCAAAGCTCTAAATTTTTATAAAATATAATAAGTTCCTTTATTCATATGCAATAATGATTTTTCAGAAAACAAATTTTGCAGTGTTTTGTCTTGCCTGCAGTAATCATATATTTTTATATTGAATGCTTTTATTGTATGCTTAACCCTTTGCTTATTGCACTTGCATAGTGCAACTTGTTATTTAGATCCACTTGTTGTACTAGCCGTAAGTGAAAGGTTAATAAATGCTAGTTGATTGAAGCAATGATTTTTATCGCATCTGCTACTTATATTGTATATTTGTTTATTTTGAAAATAACCATAATTTCTTGCGATGGACTGCATGTTAAAAAACAAATTATTTTTTGGACATCAGAAATCACAAATTTCCTATTGCCTTTGTCAGCTAAAAAAGTGCAAGGTACCATTTACATTGGATGCAAAACTTCATGCACTCGAATTCAGAGATTCTGATTCTTCCCAATTCGAGTACTGCTGGGATTTTTATGCATATAGTGCGAATGACCCAGTGATCCCTTAATGGCCCTTAAAAATGATTGTGTACCCTTTTCATGCTGATTCCCATTAACTCATATATGACATAAGTTCTACCACAGGATGGCTACAAAATATTGTTACAGATATTAAATAAAAAATGATAAATACATAAGTAGGATGAACACTATAAATAAAAATTTACCTTAAAAACTTTTATTCCATTTGACTATATCTTTATCGATTACTAAAGATAATCTCTTATGCCATTGTCCGATGGCAGCATGAATCATTTTAAAAGGTAATTCGTCCCATTCATGCAAATGATTATTCTGTCAAAATTTTGCTACATCACTAATTTACATCTTTGTAATTTTTTTAATTTTTGTGTAGCTCTCAAGCATTGAACTTTTATTTTCGATGAGGGCGAATACTCAAGTCTTAATTTTTTATAGCTTGCTTAGTTCTCGGACTCTCTTTTTCTTCTACAGTCATATTATTAGCAGAACGTTGTGGATTTCTTCGTATCTTTTCACAAATTCTCTTAATGCGCTCATTTGTATGAACTGTACATGGATGGCCAGACCTGAGTCTATCCCTACAGCTATTACAATCCACTAAATGATTTATGGTTTTGTATACAAATGTTCTATTGAACCTAAGATATTTTAATTGCTTAAAGATTCTACCTGCAAGAAATCCGTGATCAAAAAGCTGTTTAACTATCAACCTTTACGATTTCATCTTTAAACTGATTTTAAATATTTTGCTTTAAGCAAAAATCGTCTGCACTTGTAGAAAGTGCCACTCACAGGAATAGTGAGAGAACAATTGTTTTACAAAACGATTAAAATTAATTCCTAATTTTTGGAGTATTACAGTATTTACTAGCTACCCTGTAGTGGGAGTGGCTTTATAATTAATTATTTCTCCTGTACTAAACGAACCACCCTGTAATCTACAGATTATACAACAATGCAGGGTGCTCACTGAAAAAATTTTCTAGCCCACCAGGGGTTGCACTTCTCAACACCACTGCGGATAATACACAGGGAATTAGGGTACTTATCTCTTTTAGTATTTCATAGGTGGGGTAGTTGAACATAGTCTTTTTAGTTAAGCTGGAAACTTTGTAAAATAGGCATTTTCTGGAAATTAATAAGCAGGAATTAAAATTTTAATTTGTTTTATGAAAACAATTTTAACCCATGTTTGTTAAATCAGGGTAGTTTGATTTTTTGAAGTTAAGAAAAATGTTAAAATTTAAAATCTTGATTTTTTTAATAATACACTGCTCAAAAAAATTAGGGGAGCAAGCAAAGAAAGTAAGAAAATCGTGCTAGACATCCACAGAGCTGCATGAAATGGATAGCGCATACGTATCAATGCGCAAAACAGAAAAAAAGACGTAAAAACATATGGAATTAAGCTTAAATTCATGGAAACTATAGAAAAAAACAAATAGCCGATTTAAGGCAACAATTGGTTTACATGTAAACGATAAAAAAGTAACGTTTGGAAATGATGCAGTACTGTTAATAAGGCGTGTGGTCTCCTCGAACAGCTGAGACTGCTGCACACCTGCTTCCCATGGATGCGATGATGGTATCGATGAGAGTTTGGGGAATACAGTTTCACTTCTCAAGAAGGGCAATCTCCAAGTCACGGAGAGTTAATTGAGGCCTTGGTCTCGCAGCAATGCGTCGCCCGAGCATGCCCCAAACATGGATTCAGGTCAGGAGA